TAAAGCCCAAGAGTTGGAGGTTGCTGTGAGCTGTGATGCCATAGCACTCTACCAAGGGCAACTCTGTCTAAAAAAAAAAAGACAGGCATATACACAAGGAATACTATTCAGCTATAAAAAAGAACGAAATCCTGCCATTTGTACCAACATGGATGAAACTGGAGGACCTTATGCTAAGTGAAATAAACCAGGCACAGATAAATACCACATGACGTCACTCAGAATCTAAAAAAGCTGATCTCCAAGAAGTAGAGAACATAACGGTGGTTACCAGAGGCTGGGGGAAGGGGAAGATCTTGGTAGAGGGGACACAAGTATGGTTAGATAGGAAGAGTATGTTTCAGGAGATCGATTGTACATCAAGGTGACTATAGTTAATGATGATATATTGGATTTGGGGAAGGTGTAAACGGAGTGGCTGTTATGTGCTATCACCACAAAAATGAAAACCACGCGAGGTAACCAGACTTAATTAGCTAGACTTAACCATGCCACAATAAAACATCCTGTTGTACTGATAAGAACATATAACATTATCTATTGATTTAAAAAATAAAATAAAATGTTTGACCACTCTGTTGCCCAGGCTAGAGTGCACTGTTACCCACCTAGCTCACAGCAACTTCAAACTCCTGGGTTTGAGCGATCCTCCTGCTTCAGCCTCCTGAGTTGCTGGGACTACAGGCACCCGCCACAAGCCCTGGCTAATTTTTTCTGTTTTTAGTAGAGACGGATCTTGCTCTTGCTCAGTCTTCGGAGCTCAAGCAATCCTCCCACCTCAGCCTCCTAGAGTGCTAGGATTATAGAATTAAAAAATAAGAGATCCTTCAGATGCCCTGCAGACTAAGGGTGTCTGCTCATGGCTGAGACAGGTTCCCATGTGGGTCCTGAGCAGGCCACTGCTAAGTGTTCAAGTCTCACCTCTTCTTCCAGGAAGCCTCTGGGACCACCTCAGCCCCTTCTGAGCACCCGTCATCCTTCATTCATTCAGCTGCTTATTCTCTCCTACTGCAGACACTAACATCGTTTTATATCTACAACCTCTCCTCCAACACACAGTGGGGCCCTGCAGGGAGATGGGAGGACCAACGTCAAGGGGGTGTGCAAACCCCCAACATTCAGACCCCAGGATGTCAAGGCTGGCCAGGACCCCAGGGATCACCCCACATGCTGAGGCCCAGAGTGGAGGACACGTGGTCCAACGTCACACCATGACTAATGGGGTAACATAAGATCCCAGTCCCACTGTTGTACCTCAAACCTCCCCACACTCAGGGCTGAACCCCAATGAGGTTGGGGAGGTTGAGGGGTGGGAAGAGCCACCCCAGCTGTCCTAAGGTTTAGTCTGTGGGGACGTGGGCATGTGCACAGAGGCTCAGCTGTTTATGATCTTCCTCCATCCTGCCGGTGGCACTAGCTGGGCACAGGGCTTCTCAGGGGAGCTTGGACAAGCAGCCCCATCAGCATTTCTGGAGTAACCAAAATTCCTGAGCCCCACTGTGAGCCCCACTAGGTCAGGCTAGAACTGAGGTTGAGTAGAGGTTCCAAGGCCCCCCCATCCAACCCCTGGAGCTCTGCCACACCCCATTAGGACACCTGCAGGTCCCTGCCAGCCCTGGAGTGTGGGACTCAGTACCCAGTGTACACTAATACCTTGGCTAGAGAAAGTAGACATCTCCATTAGGAGATGCAAGGACTGAAACAGGACAGGGAGACCTCTTAGCTCCACCAGACAGGCATGCAGCTCCCCTCCCACCCCCAGCTTGGCAGCAAACTCACCACCTCATTCATTCACTCGCTCTCCACAGATGCCAAGTGCTTTGTGCAAGCAGGAGCCAGAACCGACAGACTCCAGTGCTCTGTCTGCAGGGCCACAGGACACTGAAAGGCTCCAAACCATGCGAAGTGGAACTTGTGAATTATCTGAACCCCCTGTTCTGTTCCCAGTTAAACCTGGTTGGTTTGTTTGTTGAGACAGTCTCACTCTATCACCCTGGGTAGAGTGCTGTGGCATCATCATAGCTCACAGCAACCTCAATCTCCTGGGCTCAATTGATCCTCTTGCCTCACTCTCCCAAGCAGCTGGGACTGCAGGTACCTACTGCCACACCTGGCTAGTTTTTTCTATTTTTAGTAGAGACAGGGTCTCACTCTTGCTTGGGTTAGTCTTGAACTCCTGAGCCTAAGCAATCTGCCTGCCTTGGCCTCCCTGAGTGCTAGGATTACAGGTGTGAGCCACTGCACCTCACCTAACCTGGCTTTCTTTAGTCCCCAGGAAAGACTTGGTGGGGGGAGGTCGGTTTTCTTGCTTTTTATTAAAAACAGTTTTGGAGCCAGGTGCTGATACCTATAATCACAGCACTTTGAGAGGCTGAGGCAGGAAGATTGCTTGAGCTCAGGAGTTCCCAGCCTGGGCAACATAGCAAGATCTCATCTTTACAAAAAATAGAAATATTAGCCAGGCACGGTAGCATGCTCCTGTAGTCCCAGCTATCAGGCGGCTAAGGCAGGAGGACCCCTTGAGCCCAGGAGTTTGAGGTTGCAATGCGCTATGATAACACTACTGCACTCTAGCCCAGGCAACAGAGCAAGACCCTGTCTTTAAAAAAAAAAAAATTTTTTTTTTTGGTAACAAGCAAAAAAATGTTCCCAAATCCTCCTGCATTCTGAGGAACAAAAGGGAGCAAGGGAAATCCAAGGAGATCTGCCATCCAGGCAATGGTCCAAAGGTGGCAATTAAGACCAGAGTGTTCTTGGCTGATAGGTTGTCACTTGCGTCCTCATGAGCTCCACCTCCACACCCAACACCCTCCTCCACCTCAGACTCAGTGGAGGCAGTGCAGGGAAGCTGAAGGCCTGCTGGGCTTGGAGCCTGGACCCGTGGGCTGGACTCCCACTTCTGGGCCTTTGTCTAGCTGAGCACCAGGTTCCTTAAGAGCTTAAACTCTGCAGCTGTACCGCTGAGTTCAAATCCCAGCTCTGCCACTTCCTACCAGTGTCCTCTTGGGCAAGTCACTTATCCTCTCTGAGTCTTAGATTCCTTATCTAGGATGTGGGGATGATAATTAACCTACCTCATAGAGAACTGAATGAGTTAACATATGCAATGAGTCTGGCACGCATCAGAGCTACACAAGGATTTGTTACTACAGTTCTCTGTTAAATTGCGATGAAGATAGTTCCTCCTTCACTATCTTGCCTCCAGTTACTGATAAGGATTAATAGGGGAAGAGTAATGAAAGATAAATACAGGGCACAAGAGAAGACATGGGCAGTCCCACCCCCCTGGAAGACATTCTTTCTTTGCCCTGTACTTCAGGTAACAGGAGCAAGTGGTTCTGCCAGCCAGACCCCACCCTCAGCCTCTCACAGAAGCCAACTGTTCATACTCATTCTTTACGCATGCCCTGGGCTCTGGCACACCATCCCTGTGCTGAGTATACCAGGAGCAGCGCTCCCTGGCTGGTGGGAGAGAGGGGTGGGCGAGCCAAGCACACAATCCAGCACCAGGCATGAGAAGGGACCAACACAGGGCCTCACAACACCATGAGAAATTCGGGAAGGCTTTCCAGAGGAGGCAGCATCTGTGCTCAGACCTGAGGGCTCAGAGGGAACTTGCCAGGGAGACAATTTAGGGGGAGCACAGGAGGCGCAACAATACAGAGGTGCAAACAAGGGTGGTAACTGAGGCAGGAGAAAGCAGTCCACCATGGCTGCTGCAGAGATTGCAGAGGGGTGAGGATGGTGAAACGGGGAGGTGTGGACAGATCAGCAAGATCCCTTTGTATCACGTAAGGACTGGGAAAGTCATACAGAAGGCAGGTGTCTGAACAAGAAACCACATCTACTTTCTAGAAGCAGACCCCCAATGTGGAGGGCAGAACGAAGTGGGTGGGCACGGGGCAGGGGAGCTAGGGAGGAAGAGGTGCCTGGGCCAGGTGAGGGTGTCGAGGTGAGTGGAGGCTGAGCAGATGGGGGGAGGTGGATAAGACACTTCTTTATTTGCCCACCCCGTTTTTAAAAGGTTTTTCCTGAGAATGGCTTCAATGGCAGCCACTCTACACACCCAGCACAGCCTCAGCCTATCTGTCCTGAGCCCTTCCCCATTCATCACATCAAAGGCCCCCGCCAGGCACCACTGAGCGCTTGGGTCTGTCTGCGCCTCAGCACCTAATCTCAGCTCCAAAGTCCCTGTTAGGAGGCTCCAGGGAAAAGTTCTCTTCAAGGTCGCTTCGCAGGACACCTTTCACACAAGCCCTCACGTGGTCCTGCACTTGCTCTCCCGAAGAGATACGGTCCTGAGAACCCCGCCGCACCCCTACACTCATCCACACGCACACCTCGCCCTGTAACTCCCACCAGCCCAGAGGGCGAAACGCCACTCAGACATCCAGCAGAAACTTGTGTAGAACTCTCTGGGGAGAAACACACACACACACACACACACACACACACACACACGCTCCTAGAATAGAATTCAGAAGCCATGAACTTGCTGAGGGGATTCCCCTCAGCACAGCCAGCCCCTGGAGGAATCTAGGCCTGTTTGGGGACAGCTGCTTACAGTAAACCAGCGCAGGGGTCTCCTAATTCTAGCTCCTTCCAAAGACAGCTGGAAAATGGCCCATGGAGAGTGAGAGAGAAGATGCAGGGCTTTTGACTGAAAATGGAAACATCAGTCTCCTCTGGGTCCTGAGCCTCCAGGGCCCTCCCCCTTGCCTCTGACTCGCCCCCAGCCCCCCTCCATACCCTCCGCAGGTGACTTCCAACATTCTGGATCATCGTGGCTGCTGGGTCGGGCTAGCTGTGTCAGGAGGCCCGTGGGAAGCAGCGCTCTCCCAGAGACCGACGCTGGTCACCTGAGCAACAGCCAGGCCTGGCTCCACATGAACGGCCAGCCTCTCCTCCTGCTCCTCCTCTCTGAGCTCCCGCCCTCTGGAGCAGGCTGTTTTCACCCCGTGTCCACCTGTCCTCACACTGCCCTCTGTCCCCTTTCTCCTAGGAGCCCCACGCCAAAGGCTCCTGTGCCCGCCGTGTGGAAAGGAAGAACAGAGGCTGCCAGCTGGGCCACAGCCACGTCAGGGGGCCCTGTGCCCGCCCACTGGGCACCCAGCCGGACACACATTTTGCCTCCAGCCCCAGCCAAACTCCAGCCACCCCACTCGCAGCCCCCAACAGCCTCCGCACAGAGTCTCTCAGCTCTGGGATCATTCTCAAGGGCAGGGAGGGGGTGGCTCCAGCCCCCCAGCCCCCCAGCCCCAGCCAGCAGACTGTGCTGGACAGGCACAGGCTTCCATCTGGCCACAAGGGGTCAGACCAGAAGGTGGCAGGAGGCCAAGGAACTGCCAGTGGCCTCCCAGAGAGACACCAGACCCACCTGCTGGGACTCTTCACCCTGGGGTGCCGCCTTCCTGCTCTACTGCTCCCAGCTGCCAGCATCCAGCAGTTGCTGGCTGGGGACAGGGCACACCCCTCACTTCCTTTAAATAGGCAGCATAACATTTCTAAATTCCACCCTAGTGGCCATGCAGGCTTCAAACCCTTGGGGGACCCACCGCAGCCCCCCGTAACCCCTACTGACTGAGAGAACACCAGGATTTTCCCTTCTCCCTCTTGATTCTGCAAGAGGCTTGACCAGGAGGTCTTGACACTCACATTGAATTTAGGACAGTGAAGTGCTTAGTGGTTAAGGGAATAAGGCTGGGAGAAGGGATGTAGGCAGGGGAGCGGGAATGGACAAGTAGGTGAGGAGTAACATCACTCATCATAACCAAGCACTTGTTAAGTGCCAGGCCCCCATGCTGGTCCTCATCCTACTCCACTGGGAAGGTCCTTGGGGAGGGGAGGTGCTATGCCCAGGTGGTACACCCAGGAGCGCAGAGCCATGCTGAAACAGATCAGCTGGTTGTGAGTCTCCGCCCTTCCCTCTGTGCTTCACACCACAGTTCTAATAATGTCTCTTCCCGGCATGTCCCACCAGGAGGCCTGGGTTCTGGGTATGGTTCTTTCACTAATGTGCTGTATGACTCTGGGCAAGTTCCCGCCTCTCTTTGGGCCTCTCTGCTCTAGGAGTCAAGGACTCTACTGTGCATCCCTGTGAGCTCAGTTCTTGCCCACAAAGAGCCTATATTCCAACAATGGTTCTATGCCTAAAAATGAGAAGTTAAAGTCATACCTTAAAGACTGCAAAATCGTCCATGGATGGCACTGAGAGCTGGGGCAATCTGGAAGGCTTCCTGGGGGAGGGAGTGCTAGCGATGGCATGAGGAGGGAATGGGCATGGATAGGCCGAGAAGAGGGGTGAGGGGAAGGCCTAACAGGAAGAAAAGAAGACACAGTCACAGGAGCCTCATTTCTCAGGAAAGCCGGGAGCCTGTCATGACGGCCTCAAAGGCCAGGTGACAGAGTTTAGGTACACATCAAAGAGCCTCTGAGAATGATGAACGTACTCAAAATGACAAAAGCCACATGAGGTAAGTGGGTGTCATGAGATGTCCCTGGCAAGGAAACTGACCCAAAGAAGAGACCACTCACTTTACTTGATCCCCAAGATAACCTGCTTGGCAGCTAGGGGGTTTCAGGGTCCTCCCTACGCAGACGAAGGAAGGAAAAGCCAGAAAACGTCTAGCCCCCCACCTTACCGTCTCTCCAGAGGACCATAATGTCCTGTACTCACCAAATTCAGTCCAGCCTCCCGCCCCGGCTAACAGATGGCTAAGTTGAGGCCCAGAGAGGAAAGTAAGCCACTCAAAGACACACAGAGAAGACACTATCCAGAATCACCACTCCTGACCTCAAGTCCAGAGCCCTGTCCACCCCATCCACACAAAGGAATAAAGCAAGAGATGCTTCAGCTAGACTTATGAGAGGACTTCTAGCAACACTGAATCAATCTTATTGTCAGAAGCAGAGTACTAAATCTTTCTACAGGGGCTTATCTGCCCACAAAGTTCTCTCCCCTTGCCTCAGTCTCCCCCGTAGTTGAGACTACAGGCTCCCACCACAACACCTGGCTAATTTTTCTATTTTTAGAAGAGATGGGATCTCACTCTTGCTCAAGCTGGTCTCGAACTCTTGAGCTCAGAAGATTCCCCCCACCTTGGCCTCCCAGAGCGCTAGGCTTATAGGCGTGAGCCACCTCACCCAGCTAGAATTTACATTTCTAACAAGATCAGATTCTAAGTGATGCTGCTAGTCCAGGGACCACATTCTGAGAACAAGCGAGCTAGGTCAGCCCTTCCACTTTATATCTGGGGAGAATGAACCCCAGACATTTAAAAGGCTTCACTTGGGCCGGGTGCAGTGGCTCACACCTATAATCTTAGCACTCTTGGAGGCCAAGGTGGCCAGATTGTTTGAACTCAGGAGTTTGAGATCAGCCTGAGCATGAGAAATCCCATCTCCACTAAAAATAGAAAAACTAGCCAGGCATCATGGTGGGCACCAGTAGTCCCAGCTACTTGGGAGCCTGAGGCGGGAGGATTGCTTCAGCCCAAGAGTTTGAGGTTGCTGTGAGCTATGATGACATCACAGCACTCTAACCAGGGAGATAGAATGAGACTCTGTCTCCAAAAAAAGGCAACACTTTATCACTATTATCATTGTGATAGTGATAGTGATAGTTTATCACTATCATCATCATTGTCACTGTCATTATAACCCTGTCACCGTAGCATTCCTCACGTATTTAGCACTGTGCAAGCACATTACATACATTACATCCCTTGGGCCTCACCCTAAAAGGAAGACACTATGCTTATAATATTGTTCTCCTGCCGAGGAATAAGTGGAGACAAAGAGTACTAAGTCATTTCTCCAAAGTCGCTTTAGTGGGGAAGGGTTAGCATCTGGATTTGAACCATGATCTAAGTCCAAAGCCACAAGTTTAACAACCGCTCTCCAAAACCTGCTTACAGCTTACATTTATTAGAGGCTCCCAAATAGAGTAGGCTCACTTCTGATGGGAGAGGAGCCCAGAGTGGGCCTCTGGAGAGTCCCACATCTGGAGAAAGCATGCCTCTTAAGTCCTATGAACCCATAGCATTTTCTCCTGCAAACACTCTTACTCCACAGCCTTCTTCATGTGGCCCCACTGGTCAGGCCTTCCTGGCTGGAGGCCTAACATCTGCATTAGTTCTTCACGTCCATGTTCCAGCTCACCTCCCTAACTCAGTGAAAAAACAAAATAAAGTCATTTCCATTCATATTTCACGGTAACATCAGGTTGTCACTGCCAGGCATGGGTCTGTCTCTCCATCAGACTGGGAGCTCATAAGAGCAGGAACCTCATCTGAGTCATCTGGGTCGCCAGCACAGGACCTGCCCAGAGTAAGGGGTTAGGAACTAGGTGTGGAAGGAATGAATGAGTATGTGTAAGAGCAAATGAGAAGATGAGTGAGTGAATAAATAACCAAACTCCCAGGAATTCCCTCTGCTGGGCCATTAGCCTCCCCAGAAAGGACCGCAGACTCTCCGGGTAGAAGGGACCTCTGATATCATCCACCCCAACTTCCACTTTTATCACTGACCTAGCTGAAACGCCACAGTGAGTTTCATACACACAAACACCTAATGGCCAGAAGGGTGTAAGTGTCCAAAGAATGATTAAATGCCAAAGAATGAAGGAATGTGTGAGTTGGTGAATGGAGGCAAATGCATGTGTAAACACATGGTCAAATGAGTGAATTCGCGCAAGAATGTTCTCTGGTCTCCAAGCTAAAGACTCCCAGTTCCTTCTGGGGGCTCTTCGGGCATGGCAGCAGAATAAAGGAAGTTGTGGAATAAATGGGGGCAGTGGGGCAGAGGAGAAAGGGAGGAAGGAGGTAGTGACACCAGCACTAGCGGAAGTGGAGGTGACCAGGCTTCAGAGCGAGGCGCCACTCACAACTCCAGCCCTTTATGGAGGAGAGGCTGGGCTGAAGAGAGCAGTGAGAAGCCAGAGAGAAGAAGGAAAGCGCAGAGGAAAGGTGGGGATGGAGAGAGGGAATGCCAACAAGTCAGGATGCCTTAGCAGAGTCCTGGACCTGTGCAGCGCACGGGAACCCATCCTGCGCAGGGGGCTCAAACATGGCCTTCCTCCCCTTCCCGGAACACTCTCTAGTGAGGCTGGGACCCCCTCCTTGGCCCAGCTGGGGGTCTGCACCCAGCCTGACTTCCGGAACTCAGCCCTTGCATTCAGGATCTGCTCACAGCAGGGGCTAGCGCTCCTCCCACGTGCCAAGAAGCTGCGGTGAGTCAACACCACTACCCTTCTGGACTCCAGTCTTGAACCTCTAGATCCTCCCCAGGGCCAGCCTGTGCAGCTTGCACGGTGACCCAGCCAACTCGCATTCTCTTGAGAAACGGGCCCATCCCAGCTTAAATCCCAGGATTCATTTCCCAGCCCGCAAGCTGGGGTGCCAGGTACCATCTGGCTGTCCAAAGGCCAGGCTCACCCTTGGAGCTGTCCTACTGGGGGCTGGCCTGCTCAGAGAGGGTCCTGAAGAGGAAGCAGGAGCCATCAGCGGGAGGATCTCAGGTTTGGGGCGCGCAGTGCTGGCCGGCCGAGGGGGTCTTACCCAATGGATGGAAGACTCCAACCACAGGGCGGAGTCCCGGGGGAGCCTGCTGGAGGGTCAGAGCAGGAAGTCCGCTCAGAATCAGGCTTTGGAGTCCCAGAGCCGAGCCTGGAAGGGGCAGGCTGCAGGACCATGCAGGGAGGCTCCAGTTTTCCAACAGGTCGGGTCCCTGTCCCCTTCCCCTCCCAGCGTGGGTGCGAAGCTAGCAGATTCCGGCGGCCGGCGGCCCGG